AAAATTTATGAAGGACAATCTGAAAAGGCTATGTACTATATGATTCCAAGACATTCTGGAAAAGGCAAACTATGAAAACAAGAAAAAAATCAGTGGCTTCCAGGTGTGTGTGTGTGTGTGTGTGTGTGTGTGTGTGTGTGAGTAGTCAAAGCATAGAGCATTTTTTGGGCAGTAAAAACAATCTGTATGGTATTATAATTTTATATGATGGATATATGTCATTATAAAACCATAGAATGTACTAGATCAAGAGTGAACACTAAGGTAACTATGTACTTTGGATGATTACGATGTGCCAATCTAGATTCACCTTTAGCAAGAAATGTATTGGTGAGTGAAATTGATAATGGGGGAGGCAATGCATGTATGGGACACGCATGGGAATCTCTGCCACTTTCCTTTCAAAATTTTGTCAGCCCAAAGTCTAAAAAAGTCTTAAAAATACTATAAGCCACTGCCATTAGATTCTATTACATGACAGGAGACACAATTTTAACTGAAAAATCATTGCCAACAGTTATGGAGCATTAATTATATGTTTTTTTTGGGGGGTAATATTGTATTGAATGCTCACCAGAAGCTTTGTACAGTGGAATTATAATTGCTCTGTTTTAAAACGAAACCAAAGTCCTAAAGTTTGATTAATAGTAATCATGAACTTGTGCTGGTCGAGTTCTTACATTCTATTTCACAAATAGAAGAACTGAGGTCTAGTGAGGTTGGGAAGCTGCTCCAATTCCCAGAGCAGAGGCTGACCAAGATTTGAACCTGGTGGTGTAACTCCTGGGCCATATACTAACCACACATGCTACTTGGCACTGTATGGTGATGGATGGAAACTAGAATTCTGGTAGCAAATATTATATGGTATATACAGATGTTGACTTACAAGGCTATCTACCTGAAACCTATATAGCATTATAAACCAATGCTACTTCACTTAAGTAAGAAAAGCTTGAGTAAAAGCTTTTGCTTTTTGCTTTTGCTTTTCTGATGAGAGAACAGTGCACCAGGAACTCAGGAGTGTCACTACAATTCAAGCGTGGGGGACATCATAGTAGGAGTCAAGGCTGAAGCCTTGCTGTGAAGGCTTAGAAATGGGAAATTCACATCTTAACAGATGAGGTAATTGGTGTTGGGATTTAGGCTGGTGTCTTCACCAAAAGGACAAGGACCACTTTGTTGGTCCTGTGGTTACACAGATGACAAGTAGCACAAAGATTACAAACCTAGGCAGAAAGAGGTTCAAATTCTGTCTCTGCCTTTACTTCCCCCTACTTGGTGAGGTGAGACACTATCTCTTTACATTTTGGTGTCCTTCTTAAGATAATGAAAACACAAACACTACTGAAAACTTGCATGTGTGAGCACTGGCCATATGCCATGTAGTGTCAGTGCACTATTCAGCCAGGAGAACAGCAGGAACATTAGTGAGCTATCCTTTAGAGCAACAGGGAATCTTTTGCAGTCTTCGAGCTGTCAATTTGGTGATGTAACCAGCATGCTCATATTGTTAAAAGGTGACAGTTTGGCACGGGGATGTGTGAATTCAAGTGATTAGATGCAAACTAAAAGGGAGATGACTATTTCTGAGAGCTGTAGGTTAATTTTTTTGGCTGTTCTTGGAATGGAAAATGATTGTGAATTTTGGGGGAAAAATACCAGAGCAATCTGTTTTCTTGGCTGTGTGCTATGGAGCAATTTAAAAGCATTGAAGTACTTTCCATATTTTCTAATCACTCAAGTCCAGAACTGATTATGGCTCTCAGCATTCTCTCAGATTCACACCATCAGAGCACTCTACATCTTTCAGGGAGAGGTTTCACCTTGAAAGCAGGCGCCCAGATTCAGAAGGCACATCTTGCTACAACAGGAACAAACATTTTAATTGCAGCACAGCCCCACGAGGGCCAGGTGTTTCGGAAAATCACTGATGGCCCCACTCAGAGACACCCAGTTTTACTTTCTCTTATCTCACAGAAACAAAACGTGACCTCCTCCGCCAGACAATGAATACAGAAACAAGTCCTACCAGAAACTAAACTCTCCAAACAAAACCCAGAGAACTCTAGATTGTTGAGATCTGCGGGCAAGGATGGACACACACATACACAAACACACACACACACACACAGAGTTGTATGTGCATAGAATGTGTCTGGGTGAAACCCTCAAGACACTGCAGCTGTGGTTTCCTCAAGGGAGAACTGGAGTACTAGAAAAAAATTAGGAGGATGATGGAGGAAAAAGACTTATTTTTTCACCATAACCTTTAGAATATTTTGAATTTTTAAAAAATCACATGTGGTATTATTTTTCAAAATAATGAAACAAAATAATGCCAAATCTGTATAGAAATATTTCTGATGTGATAGATGCTTTATGCATATTCACTCCTTTAATCCCTATAAAAACCCTGTAATGTAAACCTCATCAGATATGATCCTGATTTTTACAGATGAGGAACGAAAGGTACAGAAAGGTTAAATAACTTGTCTAAGGCCACACAGCTAGTAATGCAGATCTGGGATCTGGACTCAGAGAGTCTGTCCTCTTAATTACTAATATGATACTGCCTTGCCAAAAATAAACACCCTCCGTTGCTTGTTCATAATCAAGTTGGTACAGATAAAATGATTCTTTTCTCACAGAGCCTTCTAGGGTGATGGGGTAGAGTACAGAAGATGCTGGCTCAAAATAACCAAGATATAATCTTGAACCTGTGTGGTTTTAGAAGGTTTTAAAATCATGTGAAAACCAAGTCCAAAGCACGGCATTGCCTACATTGCTTTATCTTTCTGAGGCTTAGAAGCTATTATGTGCCAGGTATTCTGCCTGGGGGACAATTAGTGAATGAAAGAGAGTTCCTGCCCTAGAAATTTACTGTATCCTGGGAAAAACAGGTGGTAAACAAATAATGGACACAAATTGCAATATGAGCAACAGAGAAAACTTACAGGGTACATTGAGAGATGAGAATGGGGGACCTTTACTAATACTGGATCGTCAAGAATTGTCTTGTAGAAAGAGTCTTGAAGAATGGATGGGAGTAAAACAGGGAAAGTGGAAGAGGATGAAAGGAAAGTATTGTGGGTGGGAACGCCCCTGCAAAGACCCAGAGGCAGGAAAGAAATAGCTATTTGAGGAGAAAAAACAGTGAATCAAATTGGATCTAGAGTGTGAGAGAGATCATGTAGAGATATATTTCACAATTTTTCTAAGAACTATGGGGGGTTAGTGAAGGTTATAAGTGGGAGTGACATAATTTGATTTATTTTTAAAGAAGATTACTTGGGCTACGTTGTAGAAAATATGCAAAGAAGAAGTCAATGGTGGATGTGGAAGACAGCTAGGAAACTTCCACAGGAATTCAGGCAAGCAAAGAAAATGACTGAATAATATGCTGGCAGAGACAAGTAGATAACTCTGAGGTATTTCGACGGCACAATATTTTATGAAATCAGAATAATCATGTTAGCTCTGAAGTGTTATTATGAAGCCTAAGTTCAAAGGTGTGAAATGCTCTGTCTACCACAGAGTTCTAGACAAAAGTAACTGTTACTACAGATGAAGTAACCAGATACTAGAGGTACTAATTTGCTCAAAGTCACACAACTTCTGGTGGCTGTGAGGAAACATGGGCCTGGGATACCTTCACTCCCTTTCTGTCAGGGCATATCTCACGGGAAGAAAAAGAAGGGAAGTGACCTGGTCTAATTCTCTTGTCAAATGGAAGTCTGGGAAAATGGAGTGGAGATATGGAGGATGTGCCTGGCTAATTATCCCTCGTAAAGAGAACTTGGATCTAAGAAACAGGGTCCTTCTGTGAGAGAGTGATATAGCTTTCTGGGATACAAAATGAAGATTTCATGACTCTACTGTGAGAGGACCCCACTAACCTCACCTGTTACTCTGGGTGAGAGGTGTGCATTCAGTGAGGACTGAAGTGAAAGGGGGTCAATTTTTTTTTTATAAATAATAAATTTTATTTTTATATTCCCCCATACAACTGCACATGCCCCATTGAAAGGGGGTCAATTTTGAGGTTTCAAATTTTTCTTTACTTCATCTTAATCTATTGACTGCCCATACCCTTGACATTATTTAGCAAAGCTTTATATTGGTAAGAGCTCTGACTCATGTAACATGATTTTACATTCTTATCTCACCTGTTCATTCATTGGCAGAGACCTGGTGTAATATCAGGCCCTGTTATAAAGTCCAGGGATGAAGGGAGAAGAGACTTGCACTGATATTTGGACTTTGTTTGCAGTTTTACTTGATATTTACTTGATACAGCAGATATCTAACTACTTGAAAAATTAAATTGTTAGGATATATATGAGGGTCACGTATCTGGCTTCACTGTGAATGAGTAAAACTGAAGAACACAATCGTGGCCTCTTATGATAGTTTACATGATTACTCTAGAAGGTGGATCAGGATGTTTGGGTCACTGAGTATTCCTAAGAGTTACCTCAGAGAGGGTGCTTTGGTGGAGAGAAGTTCATTTTCTGCCCTCTGATTGTCAAAGAATCAGTACAATGTCAATGTTCTGCAGTGAACATCATTCCCCAATCTATTCATGCCCTCCTAAGTCATGGAGTTTCTTTCTCCTTTTCTTTCTTTTTTTCTTTAAAGATGCACAATTTATCTTCACACATGACTTCATTTAAAACTTAGGAAGGATGAGAGGGAACTTCAACTCCAGCTGGAAGGGGACGACACCCTATGCTCAACTATGTCTCAAAACAAACTATATTCATGCTAGAGGCAGCAAAAGACAGAATCAGCACACAGACCTCAGATCCTATTACTGGTACACAAATCTCTGATCACGAACTGGGGTGGTGCAGAAAAAGTCTACCAAAGGGCAGAGGCTAAACAAGAGGACTTTGGCAGGCTCATGTGATGGAAGAATTAATGTGTTTTATGAAGAAAAGCCATTTTACATCCTCCTTTTCCCCAAACAAGCTCCCAAACTAAAGCCTGAAGTTTACCTTCAGCAAGTGGGTCGAGGGTGTGTATCATCAGCTGGAAGATGCTGTTTCTCATGAGACTGTTGTGGAGGGAGGCAGAACTTCCACCTCGCTGGAGACGTGGCTTAGTCTGAGCAGAGAAACAAGACAAAGAGGCTGTTAGTTTTCAGAAATGGAAGGCAAGTGCACTATAGATAAGACTCTCACGTCGTCTGGTGATCACTTTCTTGTCTCACATGACCACACACTATTGAACCAGAGATTTTCAAAGTATATTTCAAACCCCTTGAAGAAATGGTGTTTTCACAGTCTTTTCTATGTTATGAATTAACTGCTACCTTTCCTTTTTTGAGCTTAGTAAATGCTAGTCAATGTGTACATGGTTCCCCTCCATTAGTTTATCTCATTCATAAAATCAGCCCTATGAATTCAATACTGTTGTTATTTCCTTTAGGTAGTGGAGGGCATTTAGTCTCCTAAGTGAAATGAGGTGTCCAAATCACACAGAAAAAAATGGAAGATAAAGGGACAGATCTCAGGAGCTGTTATCTGCTTTTAGAGCCATTGGTAGTCACTAAAATATTTGGATTGTGCACCCTACCAGTAAAATTTTGAATGTGTATATTTGTAGCTGTATCTGATTCATACATACTAAAATATAAGCATATGTCATAAAACATTTGTAAAAATAGTAATTATGAAGGATAATATAGAAAGCAAATGATAGAGGTGCTAATATTTTCTCCATGTTTCCCTAAGGAATTCTGTGCACATCTCTTGGAGAACTTCATCTCTACTGGGTGGGCCACAGCACTAATCTATTAATCCCCCTGGTCAGTGTTAAATGACATATGAGGAGAGACCACCTTATATTATGAATCCAAGGAGGACCTTCCTGACTTCAAAGGAGGGCTCCTTTTGCATAAACTCCTAGGAGAGTGATTCTTTGGCCAAATAAATAAAACTGATAGCTAAGAGGGAAATAATCAATGTCTAAATACAAGTTTACCAGCAAACACTTTTATCTTCAAAAGCAAAGAATCTACAAAAACAAAACCTGAACCCTCTGATTTTTGACAGATTTTTATCCTGAATAGGAGTTGGTTTTTGGTTGATTTTGTGTTGGTGATCACAGGAAGAGGCTCCCAAGGCAGCTAAGATTTGTAGACAGGCAGTTAAGAGAGAGGGTAATGTAATGTAAATTTCATTTCTTATGGAACTTAAGAGAGGAATTAATTCCTTAAGAGATGAACGAATTTCTTATGGAAATTTTGGTCCAAAATCTCAACATGAACATTTTCTGGAGCCAGGTAAAAATAAATTATTATTTACACTAAGATTTCTAATCCTTTACTTACACGTTTTACTTACACGTTTATTCCATCATACCTGTTACCTACGAGGGGGTTCCCAAGAGAAGTCCCATAAGAGACTTCGTCAAGTTTATTTGGAAAATGCTATATCTTAGACCAATCTACTTTTCAAGTTTTAAGATACATATTAGGCCACTAAGTATAACACTAATCAAATATGATTAATTTGACTAACTTGGACAGTGTTTCCAAACAATTGTCTGCAGGTTCCTATTTTGTAGAACACTTATTAACAATCATAGCCCACATGTTTGGAGTCAAATATGAAATCCTGCTAGAAGTATGGATAAAATGTTGGTATGAGATATGTGGAGAATTCAGAATTTCAGTGTAATTTTATATTATAATTGGTATTCTATTAGAACTCATATTCATAGCTTTATAGGGTTTGGGGGAGAACTAGAGAGGATTACTGGTGTCTCAATGGTAAATCAGCTCAAGAGTTCCTCAAAGGAAGAGTGTGGTCTATACCCTTTACCCGGCACCAGAGCTGTCATTTTCTTTGGGCTCTCAATGAGGGCCATAAGTTGGCTTTAAGCACTACAGGAGAAAGGAACGAGTCACACTACTTTCCTTTCTAGTTCTTTCAGTCTTAAAATCTGTAACATTTTTAATACAATTGTTTTCTAATTCAGATGCTTATGGGTCAAAGAATTTTAGAACTTGAGTAGAATTGAAATGTAATCAGTATTTGAAGGCTGAACATATGAACACTGAAGGTCATTTCCTAGCTCTGATGCATAATACAAAATATGACATGTTGATTAGATGGGAACTGGAAAATGTGTTTGTTGATGATCTGTCATAACCATTGTTACGCTGGTCCTAATTCTGGGAAAATGGAAGAATTCTATTGTGGAAATCTTCATTAACAAAGGGTCATATCTGTAGAAGAATGTAAACAATCTTTTGGGTATTATGTATCATTTGAATATACAAGTCTCATGCAACATTTCTTTTGAGGGAACCAAAAGAAATTTCCAACCAGAAAGTGGTGCATGCAGATACACAAAATCATTATCAAGCATTAAATCAATATCATACTGTCCCCAAATATCAGCTCAACATCCCTTGGAATTCAATTTGGAACTACTTCACTCTTTCAGCTCCTAGATTCCAAACTTTTTGAAATCTAGTCCCCTAAATAATTTGTTGGTGAATATAAAAATTCAATTCACACTAACTGTAGCACAGAGCATAAAAACACCATTTGATTATTCCAAGGGAAAGGATAATTTGTTGAGCAGAAGAGACCCTTTTCTTCCCACCCTCGCCCCACACTCCACAGGCACATGAATAGGTACAGAGAGGGCCACTGCTTCCTACCGGTAGAGCCTGTTCATCCTTGTCCCTGGCTGTAGATGACTGCATAAGAGGAAAAGGCAGAAACAAAAGACAAATAAATGGTGAGTCACATATAGGTTTTATATTTAATAACAAGCATCAATGAGGGAAAGACTTGGTTCTTTCTGCCCTTGGGAAGGACTAAATCAACACAAGTGGCCAAAACATAATGGCTAATTTAGGCACATGGTACATTCTCCAGATAGGTCAAAATTGAATGGCCAACCTGAATGCTCAGGTAAAGATGACAATTAAATCAATATGGCCCACACATGGAATACCATGGGTTCATTAAAATAAATGAGGTAAGTATACACATATCGACACAGAAAAATATCTAAGATATATTGTTAAGTGAAAAAAATTAAAACCTCATTATCACACTTTATAAAGGAAAATAAATGAATAATAATTTAGTATATGTAAAGAATTTTACAAAACTGCTATTAATGCTTATTGGGGGTTGACATTACAAGTACATGTCCTTTTCAATGTCATCTAGAGGGTATCAACATTCACTTTCCCACAGACAGAGCAAGACTGGGTTTGAAGAAGTTAAGCCACTGATTTAAAGACTAGAATCATCACACATTCAGACAATCCATCTTTTATCCTCTCCTTACTACTTCAGATTTTCCATGCTAAAAATGGAAGTTATCTGTCAGGTTGAGAAAAGTTGACTAAAACAAATGAAAGGCATACGAAGGCCTGGCCAGTAACTGGGAGAGAACACAACTCAGAAACAGTGGTCCTGAAGTTCTATCAAAATGCCCTAACTGGATGGCTCTGCTTCCCCAACTTAGTACTAACATTCCTTCTTCAACAGAACTAGGGCTGTGATCATTCCAATGATGTACAAGTACCTTGTGAATTTCCTTAAGATTATAACAAGTCTTTGTCACTTTACCCAACTGTAGTTGTATACAATAAGAACAAATTGGGCCTTTGCCCCCTGTTTTAATTTCCAGTTCACCCTGTTAGAGTCGCCGCTGATCTGTGTCTTCAGCGGTTATCACATAATTAGAGAAAAGTAGACAGGTACAAAACTGTTGAAAAATCTTCATTGGTCCTAGGTTTTCTCTTTCAGTCCTACCATTATGTCATATAAAGAATGTTAAGACAGTCCCAAATCCCACCTAAAATACACATTTTTGTGTTAAGAAATGGAAAGAATTCTTACAATTTTGCATTTCAAATTATTGGCTATATATAATTCATTTATGATTAGTATGCTTACAGTCTTGTTAAGTGAGAAAATTGAATCCACAATTTGTTTTCACATGTAATTTTAAGAAGATTAAACTTAGTACTTAATAAAATTGATATTAAATATTTTATAGACATTCCATTAAACATTTAATAATCTTGATCTTTGTGGGGACCTTTCTGGATTTTGGAGTCAATATCAACATATTTTTTTTTTCCCTTCTGGTTCCAATCATTTTTATAGACCCTTGCAGAAGGTGTAAGTCTCTGGTACAGAAAAGAGTTCTGGGTTGGTGGTGGTTTCTGAGTGAGCATTGCTAAATTTGCCATCACTGCCTGGTTTGAGATCTCACTTAGAGACATCTTTGTCTTTAAAAGCACTACTGATAAACCTGATTCCCTCGCTCCCAGGCACATGCGTGGGGAATTAGTGTGGATCTGAACTTGTGCTTTGATTTCCCTTTTTTGCTTTGAAAGGCCCCACATGATCCTGCTTCTCTCTGGCAGTTCCTTTCATTTTCTCCTCTTCAACATCAGACAGCTCAACAAATGGCCCCACATTCCACAGAACAATCCCCCAGGGAAATTATCCAGTGCAGCAAGCTCAGCCTTTGGACATACATTGAGATTAACTGTCAGAGCACGCCTTTTCAGTTAGCAAATTTACACCTGTGGCTAAATGGGAGACAGATAATTATGAACTGGGATTGATAATACAGCGATACCAAAGCACATGAAGGAACAGGATGAAACTATGGTAATAAAGGGTAGCCTTTTGAAAAAGAGCAAAAATATCACCACTCAAGATTTAAAAAGCATATATTTAAGAAAGTACCTGAAGAAGGAAGAAAATCTAAACCTGTCTTTTGATTTGAAAGGAAGAAAAGAAGTCTACCCCATTGACTTGTTCTTATAAGCAAGGAGGCTCGATCACAAGATATAATAAGTGAAAAATAAATGCCTTGTACAGAGATTCTACAAAAAAAAAATTGAGGGCAGAGAAAGGGCTGAATTCTTTACTAAATTTCGTATTGTTTTGTGTCAGCAGATGTTGACATCATTAGTTTTCTTTCAAGTGCAATTTGCAGACATGAGTACGCATATAAATTTGGGTAGACACACAAATGGCAACTGAGGTCATGAAAACACCCTTTCATTTCCTTTTCTGTAACTCTGTTGCAAAAAGATGAGCAATGTGCCATATGATGGTAATTGCTCCTTTTCAGGGGCTCACCCACATCTACTGATAATTCTTGACACTCACCTGACTTAGCCTCACTATAACTGCTTCAGAGTTCTGGAAAAGTGCTGCTGGTTATGTCAGGAATTCAATTTTAAAGGAATTTTTGTTACATTGGAAGTAACTAGAGAAAGTGACAAAGAAATGATTAATCTATGTATAGAACGACAGTCTTTCTCACTACTGGATTATTTAGCTAACTACCTGATTTGGCATTGGCCTTGGTGTTGCGAATTATTTTCAGCGCCATTGAACATCTGGCAAGTTTATTCTAATCCACTGGGTGTTATAAAAGACAGCTTCCAAAAAGACTAATGTGACTTTAAGGATTAATCTTGGCATTCTTATTAAGCATTTTGCTTTTTAATCCCCTTTATTTTAAACATACCAATTATCATATGCTTGGGCTATACTAATTTGGAAACCTCAGTTTCTGGTGGTCTGTTTCAATGGCTATACCAGTTATAGCAAAGGTTTGTTAAGCTAATCCATAGCACACACAGAAATTTTTAAAGGATATATAAAAGAGTTCATAAAATGAATCCAAAAGGGTTTCTTAGGTTGGAGCTTTGGTGTGTTAATGCAGACCCTCTCTTCACTTGTTAGAACATGACATCCATGAGGGCAGGATATAAGGAAGACAGCTTTAAGTTAAGGGGAAGTGATCTGTCACTCAACCCTTATTTAATTTAAAGCTGTCCCCTCCCTGGTTATGCCAAGTAACTGAGCAGCTGAAAAGATGCTATCAATAGGTGTTTTTCTCCCTGGTGGAAACCCCAATTCCATATAGGAATTTTTCCTTTTTTTTAATTTTTAAAGATTTATTTATTTACGCATACAAGAACTGGGGTAGAGGCCGGGGTGGGGGGTGGGGGTGAGAGGCTTCACCAGAGACAGAGTGGGGAACAGAAGAGACAGACTGACTGAAATACACTGCTGAAGGGAGCAGAGGGCAAGACAGGAGAGGTCTGCTGCGCTATATGGGTAGACCAGCTGGGGATAGAACTCGTGCTGCAGTGGCTGCAGAGAGCTTCACCATGCTGTGCTTAACCCCTTGTGCCACCAGGGAGGCCTGGAATTTTGCTTTTTCATAGGTCTTATCTTCACCCCTATAATAAAACACATACATCACTTAGAAAACACTTTTGTGTTTTCTTTTTGAATTTTGCTTTTTCATAGGTCTTATCTTCACCCCTATAATAAAACACATACATCATTTTTAACCCTATACATCATTCACAAATCCTTAAATCATCCTTTTCCCCTTTGGCCCTGAAAGTCACTGGTTGAGAAGTGATTTCTTTGGTTACAAAGAAAGTTTTTATGTGACTTTGTACAGTCTTACCCCACACAAAGGCAGCCACTTCCTTCTCACCCACATAAACATCAGACAAATTATACAGTTTAGATATATCAGGACCACACAGCCCACTTCATTCCTTTCTATCTGCTCAGAAGCAAGTCACATAATCAGACAGATCATTCTAAAGATTTCCCATGTCTAAAGAAAGGTATATAAAATAAGAGCAACTTTTCTGGACAGTGGCTTGGAATCAGCTATAGGAGGATAAGCAGTTTGTCACACCAATCAAGTAACAATCATAAACTTCCACCATCAGAACCTTTCATTAAGTCCTATCTAATGCACCTAAATTCATTACCAAAGACCTGGAAGCACTATATGTCTATAAAAACAAATTTAAAAGTACAGCTATTTGTCATAAAGGTGATCTAAAACATACATGCCACTGATTAGAAATATTAATCTAATACTTGATATTAATTTTAATGATTTAGACTAGAAATAAGGTATAAAAACCTCAAATCTGAAATCTAAAAGGAAAGAAATCTTGCAATTTTTTTTCAGTCAGATGCAAAATCATCTCCCTCTCCCTCCCTTTACTGTGCCCTAACACACTCCCTAAAACATTAAACTGATAGGGGTTAAGCAAATTCCTAAAGAAAGAAATATTAAGAGATTTAAATTCAAATTACTTTTACACTGCTGGGTTATCACCCCACTATCACCTGTCAGCCCATAGCATACATTTTCCTTGAAGAAAGTAAGGATCTCAAAGATGAATGAAGTGCTGAAGGTGGCAGCTGAGGACACAGGGAGACCCACTTCACAACTCCAGTTGAAAGAAACACATTGGGATAGAAAGAAAAGGTGGAAATGAAATAAAATGTGTGGCTTGGAAGCTCACCTTTTAGAAACATAGCATTTTGATGACTTATTTGAATAATTCCCATGATCATGAAATATTTGGGGTAGTAGAAACAAATTTTTTTTTTTAGATTTTTAAAAAAGATTTCTTTATTTATACACAGACCGGGGAACAGGCCAGATGTGCAGGAGGGTGAGAGGATTCACCAGAGACAGAGTGGGGAGCAGAACAGGCAGACTGACTGAAATACACTGCTGAAGGAAGCAGTGGGCACGACAGGAGAGGTCTGCCGCACTATGTGGGTATCTCCCTGGCTGGTGGGGATTGAACTCACACTACAAAGGCTGTGGACAGCTTCACAGCGCAGTGCTCAACCTGATGCACCACCGGGAAGGCCCAGCAGAAAC